TCTGGTGAGATATTGCGCATGCGCTAAAACAGTAACGTAGCCAGGTTATGTACTGACTGGTATATGCAGCGGGGACCTTACATGCAAGGCCTGCTTCCTATTTCTGAAGTGAAGTCTACTGATAAAACTTTATTATAGAAATCTATACTAGGATAACCCCTCTTCATTATTAATTCATAATCTTTGCAAAATATTATTCTTTTGGGGGGATATTGCGCATGCGCGAGCACCGTTTAAGGCGTGCAGTACAGCCTAAAGACAAAAAAGTAATATAATTGGCGGAGGAAGAGAGGGGTGGTAGACTGAAGGAAGGCGGCAGGGAAGATAGCTGAGGGGCGGTGGAAGAAGGAGGAGGCTGACCGTGCGACAATGGAGACAAGGGAAATGGCGGGCGGGGATGAAGTAGGAGTTTTGAACACTACAGGCTAGGCCGCTCTCCAAATTATAAACACAGGTCTACTGATACGAATTTATTTCAGAAACCTCTGCCGAGATACCCCCTGACCATACTAAATGCATTTTAATCACAAAATCTAACTCCTCCGGTGAGATATTGCGCATGCGCTAAAACAGTAACGTAGCCAGGTAATGTACTTAATGGTATATGCAGCGGTGACCTTACATGCAAGGTGTACTTCTTATTTCTGAAGTGAGATCTACTGATATAATTTTATCATAGAAATCTATGCTAGGATAACCCCTCTTCAATTAAAATTCATAATGTTTGCAAAATATTATTGTTCTCTGGCGATATTGCGCATGCGCGAGCACCGTTTCAGACGTGCAGTACGGCCAAAGGAAAAGTACGTAAATATAGCTTGCTGAGGGAGAGAGGGGTGGGAAACTGAGGGAAGGTGGCAGGGAAGACAGTCGAGGGGCGGTGAAAAGAGCAGGAGGCCGAGCGTGTGACAAGGAAGACAAGGGAAAGGGCGGGCGGGGATGAAGTAAGAGTTTTGCACCCTACAGGCTAGGGCGCTCTCCTTATTATAAACACAGGTCTACTGATAAGAATTTATTACAGAAATCGATGCTGAGAGACCACCTGACCATACTAAATGCGTTTTCATCACAAAATAAAGCTCCTCTGGTGAGATATTGCACATGCGCTAAAACAGTTGTGTATTCAGGTTATATATACTGACTAGTATATGCAGCTCGGGGACTTTACATACAAGGTCTGCTTCCTATTTCTGAATTGAGATATACTGATGGAATTTTGTCATATCAATCTATATGCTAGGATGACCCCTCTGCACTTTAAATTCTCAATTTTTGCAAAATATTATAATCTTCTCAGGAGATAGTGCGCATGCGCGAGCACCGTTTCAGGCGTGCAGTACGACCTAAATAATAGTACGGTAATATTATACGATATGTATAATAGATATACGAATGATAATGTGCGAGTGTCACTGCGCGGTATAGTTAAATTGTCGTGCTAAAGTACGTAGGTAAAGTTACTTTGCCGGTATAATTCCCCAGTTTTTATGTATTCTTACCGGCAAGATTTAGTTTCTTCACTGTAGTATTGATCAACAACATTTCAGCGATGGCCTGGGCTCCCTTACTGCAGATTCGGTTGTCCGCCAGACTCTGTAACATATGGTAGTGCGTAACATTGACACAAAAGTTGTACCTAATTATTACGCTCATTATAACATTTGGCATCGTTGTATTGGTATTCTATTATCTGGCACACATTGGCGGTAAAACTTGCTACATCACTTTACGATATATATCAAAGACAAAATCTTCATACCAAATCGGCTATGTAGCAGTTCTCTTTGAGCATCTCACTGATGTAAACTACACCATCGGCTCCTAACCAATTGTCGTCGAGGTTTAGGACAAGGACAGATGTGTTACCCTTACATGCAGAAAAGAAAAGCACATGTTACGCATACATTTACAATATCATTGTCCATCATGCTAATTCGATATTTATGTAAGAACGAGGAAGTCAATTATGTAAGACCACAACAGTTACTATAGTGAGAAGCTCTCATCAAATAGGTATCGCGTATATTCGACAAACTGCGAAAGGCACTGCGCGCGGCAATCTTTAAGTTTCTGTGATTCTTCACTTATATATGGAATTAATAGACCTTGAATTAGTATATTATTTCAATTAATTTGTTGCCGGTTAACTGTTACCACATTGGTTTATTCAACGGTATCGTCAAATCCGCACCGCACCGTTGGTGTTTACAATGAATCCAGATTTATGAATCACGCGCTGCCTCGGCGCTTCGCGCATCTGCAGCTATAGGCGAAGCGCTAGGCGCCTCGGCATCCGGTAAGAAAATGCCCCGTTTGGAAAGAGCCGAGACAGGGACACTTTGAAACCATGAAAACTGCGCGGTATTACGGTGCACTCAACATAACGGACGCAATCCTTAGCAACGATGCTAAACAGCTATAAAATTACCAGAAGATGAAGCCACGATGTCGTAAGATGTGTAAACATGCTGTAAATGCTGTAACATCATAATATAACATGTGTGTACGCGGGCGAGCAAGTGCATCGCAGTAGCAGTAGCAGCAGTAAGACAGACATGCGCCAAATATATCAATTGAAGCTAGCCTACCACCAAGGGTAGAGACATCGCCTTAGCACCGTGCGGACCGAGCCCGTGGTGCCGTAAGTTCACCACTTCATCTTCAATGTGACGCATGAAGTATGACACCGGTACTACGCCGAGCATCTCACACGCATTCACATATGTCTTTCGGCCACTCGCGTCGAACGCATTCTGTTTATCTGTTATAATAATTACAAGCACGTTATATTTCTATAATCATAACGTGTTCATATGTGAGTATTGCAGGGACGGATCCATGATTTTTTAAAGGGGACCTGTATTCAGTTTAGGCTATCAATCGGGAGTCATTTTTTATACTTTCTATTTTTTTCATTTATAGGAGACAAGCACAAAATAATAATATTATAGAAGGGGCTCATGCAGAAGCACATGTTCAAAAACCTGGGGGGGACAATTGATATTGTGTCCCCCACCCTTCGAAAAGTGTGGGGGAGGTGCCCCCTGTCACCTGTGTCCCGATGGCATTTGCGCCCATCATAGCTGCATGTGCTATATACACCATATGACTGTAGCACCGTTATATATTTAGGACAATAATTATGCACTACAGGATTTTGCAGCCCGCCCGCTAGGCACGAGCGCCACCTGCTGACACAGCCTGCTGATGATCGAGATATGGTGCGGCAGCAGGATGTCCGGATCGCCATCACGTGACGTTTGAACGCATATCTGATTATTTTTGTGTCCCTACAGAACAAAAGTAGGGGGCGGAAAGTCCACAAACATGTCTCGTGTCAGCCCTAGAAACGGTGGTGACTATATGCAACAAGAAGATGAATGGGAGAGAGATCTGCTGCTAGACCCTGCCTGGGAGAAACAACAGAGAAAGGTAAGAACTATTGTTGTCGCGAGTCGCGTGTATAGCACTGTCAGTCTGTCACTGTCAGTGACGTGTAGTCTGCATTTAGTGTGTTTGAGTTTGTTGTGTGCTGTTCGTTGCACCGTACGTCCGTAGGGTACAATCTTGGATCCCCGTGTCACTAACAGGTCTGTCATGTCGTAGTCTACGTTTACTCAGACGCAGTCGGCCACAGTTTGCATTGACACTGTGTACACTGCTTGCGTACAATGAGTAATGTTATATCTTCACGTTTCATGGAACTGGAACAATCTACTACTACTAGTACTATTACTACTACTAGTAGTACTACTAGTACTAGTACTAGTATACTAGTACTAGTACTAGTTACTAGTACTACTACTACTACTAGGGCCTAGTAGTAGTACTACTACTACTCGGTACTACTAGAAATAATATCATAAAGCACGGCACTGTAGTGTAATTTCAGATGGCTACCGTACCAGCACTCCTAACCATGCACTGCAGGCTTATATCATGCCGGGAACGTTATAGAATATAGGCACATACATCACATGTGACAAGCAACATAATTGTATAACCTGCGATCATTGTATGGAAAGACATACTATATATACATGTAATATTGGCAACTACTCGCATGCAAGTGTGCGTAAAATTCGAGGGCATACTAGCACTTCCAGCAACTAATACCTACCTTTGAAATTTTAGTAAGATTCAAGATGTTTATTTTGTGCATAAGTCTACAGTGTATATACAGTGTACAGCGGCAAATAGGAAATATACAAGTCAAGGTAATCTAGTTTACAAAAGAAGCACAGGAGTGGCGAAAGAACCCGCAGGTTATCAACGTCTGCCACCCCTCAAAATAAAATGTCATAGTACTAATAGTAGGCAGATGGGTCATTATTATAATATACTTGGTTGCCACAGTAGTGTATGGTGAGCATGTGAAACCGCAAAAACATGACAGCGAAAATGATCAAAACATATGAACAATAAAACTGAATAACGGTGAACAAGAAACTAAACAAAAATGAACAACGGAATGAGCAGAACAAAACAGGCAGAGCTCTAATTTAAGGGGCAAACAATTATAATGATTCAGAATTTAACGAGTTAAAGTATGGTAGCTTCAACTAGCTATGATATCTTCATGTATCTCTTAAATTTACCTCAAAACAAAATTTACTTGACACTTTTCACATGTAGTGGAATTACAACCATTCACTGAGTGAAACACGTTTCTTTTTATGGATACTGAAGTCTGAGATTAAAAAAAGGACTGGAATCCCCTTTTCCTTTAAAGGTAGTAGCCATCATTTGCAAAGCATCGTGGGAGGGCTCGAACAAATTTATGCTCATTGTAACTTAAAATGAGGACTCATCAAAGTACACATCACAGCGTTGGATTTATGGTTATAATGTGACATTTAAATGAGAAATTAAACGTTTTCCTCTTAATGTGACTAGAAGACGCCCTAAGAACTCAAAGAAAACATCCTGATGCCATCTACAAATGAAATTTTATGGAAATTGGGAGGTTGTGCAAATGAGGGCTACTACCTTTAATGTAAACAATGTATCTAAAGTAATAGACTTTTGTTTACACTGTATCTAAAATGAAAGATACTACGAATACCGTCTTGACTCTGTATCTCCTAACCCGTAAACTGCTGAAGGTTGTTTTCATTTTGGAGACTTTTTACGTACACTCCTAAAAATGTTCGGAAATTCAGGTTTGATCGGTGATATCTCTCATGTACCTGCATTATTTTAATTGCATTTGGTAACATTGGAAAGCCTGTTCATTTTCCTTCACAATGATGTCCCATTTGCAATGATGCAAATGGGGGATGTGCTTTACAGCTATATATGCAGTGCAGCTCGAAACAAGAGTAAATATAAACGAGAATACACTTTTGACAACAGCAATGCATTCTGCAACATTTCACTTCGGACCCACCCCCATATTCAGGTCTAACGATAAGAATTTATTACAGAAATCGATGCTACAGGCTTCAAACATGATTCAGAAATGTTTTATTCACACTATTGAGCTGAATGACCACACACTATTTTGTTCATATCCTGTGTATCACAACTGTTCAAATATCAACAGTCATATCAACAATAATTGCCGTTTCTGTGTGTCTAAATATCTAACTAACACTGTCACTCGCGGGTATATCTCACTCTCTCACGCGCGCTCTCTCTCTCTACCTCTATCTCCCCCCTCTCTCTCCCCTTTCTCTCTTTCGCTCTCTCTCGCTTTCTCTCTCCCCCTCTCTCTCACTCGCTCACGCGCGCCCCCTCTCTCTCTCTCACACTCTCACGCGTGCGCGCTCTCTCTCTACCTCTATCTCCCTCTCTCTCTCTCCTCACGCGCGCGCTCTCTCTCTCTCTCTCTCTCTCTACCTCTATCCCCCCTCTCTCTCACACACTCACGCGCGCGCGCGCTCTCTCTCTCTTTCTCTACCTCTATCCCCCTCTCTCTCTGTCTCTCTCACACACTCTCACGCGCGCTCTCTCTCTCTCTCTCTCTACCTCTATTCCCCCTCTCTCTCACTCTCTCTCTCACGTGCGCGCGCTCTCTCTACCTCTATCCGCCTCCTCCTCTCACTGTATCACTACCCTCCTCTATCTCTCTCACGCGCGCTCTTTCTTTACCTCTATCCCCCTCTCTCTCTCTCTCTCACTCACGCACGCGCGCGCGCGCGCTCTCTCTCTCTACCTCTATTCCCCCCTCTCTCTCTCTCACACACACACACTCTCTCACGCGCTCGCGCTCTCTCTCTACCTCTATCCGCTTCCTCCTCTCTCTCTCGCCTTCTCTCTCTCTTGCGCTCCTCCTCTCACTATATCACTACCTTCCTCTATCTCTCTCTCTCCTCTCATCTCCAATATAACATATATCAGGGGTTAATAATGACAAATTTGTCATTTGTCGTTATTAACCCCTGCATATATGTATGGGACCTAAAGTTTCCGTCGGTTTGCGTTAGTGACAGAGGAATGGGTCGTCGCGTGGTTTCATCAAGTTCCCAACCACAACCGGTGTCAAGCAAGGCGTTAACCCCTTGTCAAGCAAGACGTCGGCCTTCAACAACTAAAACGTCACTCGTGTCAATCACGGCCTTGCTCCTCGTCAACCGCGACGCTCTCCTTTGTCAACAACGACGTTGCCCCTTGTCAACCAGGACCCTACACCTTCTTCACCACGACATCACTGTTTGTGAACTACGACGTCCCATTTGTCAATTACGACGATGCCTCTTGTCAACCACGATGCTGTCCCTTGTCAATCACTACGTCATCACGCATAGGGCTTCTTAACCGCATCTTTTAATATATCTTGAAACTAATATTATTAATTAGTACAAAAACGTATTTTCTAACCATTAAATTCAAACCTGCACTTCGAGATATTTTCGTCCGATTCTTCATCATCTACCTTTAATAACAGTTCGTTATCATCATGCGGGTCATCTTCACCCAACGTTTCGCTGTCGTCAATTCCCGTCGCCCCATTCACATTCGGTTGTGCACTAACACATTTAGGTGGTTGCTCGTCCTCGTGATTTTCACTATATTCTTGTGACATGGTTTTGCTGTTCTATTTCTCATACATATGCGATATTATGATGCTGTAATCGTGATTAAATGTATTTTAGAGACTTTTTTTTAGCGCACGTAGTTCTAAATTTGGACAATACCATGGACAAAGGTAAGATTAAATAATAGTATAGACAATCAATTTATAGAATTGTAGATACAACACGCATGATGCAACAAGTGTCTATCACGTATGTGCGTATGTGTCTCAATTCTGTTTTAAGAACACGGAGTATGTGATCGGAAAAATACACAATGCAAATGGCTAGCCTCATATCTATATACACAATATGTAAAGGCAGTATATATAATATATAGGTAAATCACACACGCGCGCGCACGGACGTAGGTACGCCACACGCACGTAGGCATACAGCCCTTACGCACACACAAACACACACACACACACACACACACACACACACACACACACACACACACACACACACACGCACACACACATACCGAGCAACTCTCATACCGCACGCACAGACGCGACGAACCTAGACGAAGAAAACGCTACTCTGTCGCTGCGCGCCGTACAATAATTAGAAGACACCTGAGCTGCCACCGCCTCCGTTGCCTCCTCCGCTGACGGCAATTAGACCGCCGTTGAAAAGAGTCCGGCGCTACAGCAATGTAGAGAGCGCTGGCTGGGATGCACGGTTCTACCTTAAAGTTGAATTTAATTCAATCGCGAGCACACATCTGCCGGTAACTGGAACTCCCGCGGGTCGCTCTGACGGCTCGAGAATTTGTTCGCCGCGAATGCTGCACGACGAGCACAACAGATTGACGCGGTTTTGTGCGCAGACGCCTTGCCGATGGCGCTTCTTCTTCGTCTTCTTCTTCTTCTTCCTCTTCTTCTTCTTCTTCTTCTTCTTCTTCGTCGTCGTCTTCTTCTTCTTCTTCCCCTTCTTCTTCTAAATAGATTATTACTATTGTTACTATAAATAGATTATTACTATTGTTACTATAAATAGATTAAAGTAAGATAACATAGTAACATACATTTATTACAAAGATGTCATGAAAAGCTGGGCGTTTAGCCACTTTGTTCGTAATCCCTTCAGGCTTCACAGCAATTGAAGCCTGGATAATTTTAGATTAGTATTCATGCTTATCAATGTTATATATAGAAATTACAATTACAATACAGATGGCATATGATACTGCACATTTTGTTAAGTACATTTTAGGACAACTGGACTGCAATCATGTGGTTTGGTTATGGTTAAAGGGTTATTGTTAGGTGGCTGATGATGCGCATATCATTGACCCCCCCCCCCCAACTATAGTAAGGTCCTAAAGTAGACAAGTACTGTTTACACCTGCATCTGTAATTCAATAAGTTTTATGTGCTATATGTCATATAAGAAAAAAATGCAGAGTAT